TCCCAGTGCTCCCAATGCTCCCAGTGCTCCCAATGCTCCCAGTGATCCCAGCGCTCCGAGTGTGGTGCTCCCAGTGCTCCCAGTACTCGATCCCAGTGATCCCAGTGCTCCCAGTAATCCCATCCCTCCCAGTGATCCCAGTGCTCCCAGTAATCCCATCCCTCCCAGTGATCCCAGCACTCCGAGTGTGATGCTCCCAGTGCTCCCAGTGGGATGCCCCATCCTTCCCAGTTCTCCCAGCGCTCCCAGTAACTCCCAGTGTTCCCATCCCTCCCAGCTCTCCCAGTGCTCCCAGTGCTCCCACTGCGATGCTCCCAGTTCTCCCAGTGCTCCCAGTGTCCCGTGTCTCCGGTGTTGGGGCCTCTGTGAGACCCCGGAACTGCCCAGGCCGTTCTCAGAGCCTTGCCACAGAATTCCGGCTGACACTGAGCCTCTCCGTGTCCCTGTCCCTCTCTCCCTGTCCCTCTCTCTGAGTCTCTCTCTCTGTGTCTCTCTCTGTCCCTCTCTCTCTCTGTGTCCCTCTCTCTCTCTGTCTCTCTCTCTGTCCCTCTCTCTCTCTCTGTCCCTCTCTCTCTCTCTGTCCCTCTCTCTCTGTCCCTCTCTCTCTCTGTCCCTCTCTCTGTCCCTCTCTCCCTGTCCCTCTCTCTCTCTGAGCCAGCAGAGATGCAGAATTGTCGTTCAGGAAATTCCGCGGCGTTTTTATTTCTCCTGCCGGGGGGTCCATCCCGGCAGATCCCAAGGTTTTGGGTTCGGAGGGGGCTTTTTGTGGGGTTTGGGGGTCACCAGGAGAGCTCTGTGGCTGCCCGAGCTGCAGAGGGCTCGGGACAAAGGCTGCGATTATCCCGGGAAACGGAGAATGAAGGGATGGAGTCCCGGGGGCCTTGGGCACTCCGGGAAACGATTCCTGTCCCAGGTGTCGCCTCCCATGGGGCCTCTGGGCACTCACACAGGGGCTCTGCCCCCTCCAGGGCACAGCTGTGGCCCAGGGGTGTGGCCCAGGTGTGACCCAGGTGTGGCCCAGGTGTGACCCAGGTGTCTCAGGTGTGTGGCCCAGGTGTGGCTCAGGTGTCCCAGGTGTGGCCCAGGTGCCTCAGGTGTGTGACCTAGGTGGCCCAGGTGTGTCCCGTGTGGCCCAGGTGTGTGTCCCAGGTGTCCCAGGTACCTCAGGTGTGTGACCCAGGTGGCCAAAGTGTCCCAGGTGTGTGTCCCAGGTGTGGCCCAGGTGGCCCAGGTGCCTCAGGTGTGTGACCCAGGTGTATCCCAGGTGTAGCCCAGGTGTGACCCAGGTGGCCAAAGTGTCCCAGGTGTGTGT